AGATCATGCATTGGAGATAACTGAAATCGCCTTCGAGGTGTACTCGGAGCATTGCGCAACTGTGCACCGGATAGTTATCGAGGGAGGGCTAAATACCTGACATTTATGTAAGATACATAGGACACAAGAACACATTAAATGGCTACTGAACACTGATACAAACAGAGCAAGTTACTTAACCGAATATGAGAACTTACTAGAGTGCATGATAACGTGATTGCATGAGCACAAACATGTTTGGTATAAAATGGGAACTTCAAACAACTCTTGTGAGTTTAACATTTTAAAACGGTTTTTTTCAAACCCAGTTACTCATATTTAAGTATTTTGTTTCACGACCAATCACTAAAATGTTTTTCTAATTTGTAACCTACAATTTTATTGACTAATTTGAAAGTTTGATTTTTAAAAACAATTTATTTCCAACTTAATACAAACAATAGATTTTACTTGTAACCGAACCTCAACTATGACTTATGACTCGTATATCTTAAGTCGGCTGTGATGTCTTTATAGTTAAATTATGCTGATCCTAGCAGAAACGATACTGCGTCTTATTTTATAAGAATAGTCGGCATAAGTGGCCATATAATTTTACAAATAGAAAGAGGTATTGTTAACATCCCTAAAATTTACCGGTTACCTTAACCTATTTCATTTTCAACCAAGTTTTTTTATATTTAAGAAGCAACAGCTGTTGCAACTAAATATAAATTACCTTTACCTATAAAACCAATTGTGCAATGATATAAAAGATAATAAGCAGATGGATAGGTCTGTGTTTTCGCCTCGCATTTCCGGTCCATATGTTAGTTGTTAACAATTTATTGCAAATATAAAACGATATTTGTTTAAGTTAACACATTAAACATTATAATTTAAAAAAAACGCCCAATTTTCCGGTTTTTCCTAAATTTCTCAAAAACTAGTTATCCGATTGAAGCGTTCGACCTCTCATTTCGTAGATATTTTTATTCTCTACAAATTATTTCATTGAAGCATTTCAATTGCTCTATAAGATCCAAAGTTATAAACAAAAAGAAACAAAAATCACGATTTTTCCAATAATTTGTTATTAACTAACATATTTACCGAAAATGCGAGTGGAAAACACATAGCTATTAATATGCTTATTATCTTTTATATCATCGCACAATTAGTTTGCTACTAGTCTTCGTGTCACGATAACGCATTTTTTTTTGGTTTTTTAAATACCTATAGCTTGGCCTATTTATCTTGAACACCAATTTGGAATCACCGGCTTGATAAATACATATTATCTCTATTTTTAAGATAGTTCAAATTTCGAGATTCTCTAACCTCAAGCACCTCCATGACCGGTTTCGCGCACTTTTGAGTTCGATTTCTTCTACAACTTTGGTTTTCTCAGAAAAATCAATTTGCATTTTCATTTTAAGCTTTGAAGATGACACTCAACACAAATTTCGCAATATTTTAATTGTAATGTTTAGCTTTACCTACCTACTAATAATTTGCCAAATTAACTTTGAACTACCTACTTTAAAATTATGTTTAATAACAAAGTTGAACATGCACCTACAAAATCTCATATCTGCGAGAAACAATCAATGTTTTTTACAGTTTCAACGCACTCTTCCATTAAGCCTCAACACATTTCCGGTCGTACACTTCCCAGTTCTAAGCAAAATTGTGAAGTGATATTGCACAGAAAAACTCCAAGTCTTCGCACTAGCATTAAGCAGCTGGATATCGGAGTGCAGCTATCAACCGATCTTCAGCCGATATTTCCGCCCTCATTAGCATATTTTGTGTTTCAATGTCAGTTCTAATTAGATCAAGCTAAACAATAAAACTTCTATTCTTAGTCGAAGTCTTGGGCAGATAATTACGAAAGCCACCTTTCTCATTCAATGCAGCGCGTATTCAATTCATGTGTGAATAAATTGCCCGTTGTGTTGGCGAAATTTTTAACAATTTATTTCAATTATACTTTTTACTTCACCAAATATTACCTAGGGTTGCAATATAAATTGCAATTATTTGCTCATTACTTAGATGCGAAAAATTCGCCACTAATGTATATTAAACGTATATTTCAGTCTCAGTCGCAAAGTAAAACTGAAATGTATGTGGCTCGTGTGCTAAATTGAGTCCGTACCATACGATGCTAATCGCGAGACACGCGGCGAGCTCGGTATCATCGTGTATGACCCCATTAAAGTATTGTTTAATTAAAGTTATTCAAAAGAGTAATAAGAACTGTTAAAAGAGCTATATAGGATTTTCCCAAGAATGATCTAGACCTGTCTCTTAATCATCAAACATCGATTGTTTGTTAGTCAGTGATAGGGATGGGAGAAAAACAGAGATTAGAATTAGATCCTGAAATGAAAACATCGGATATTTGATGTTGATACTAGATAGATGGAACATTTACTGCGAACTCTTTAATAGTGCCGATACAAACGATACCGCGGCATAACCCATTTCCAGCTGCACCCGAGTATCTTTTTGCAGTCAGTTGACCGAAAAATGTGGCAACTATAAGTTGAAGAAATTTAGTCGATTATTCAACAAGGCATTGTTTTATAATGTCATAGTAGTAGTAAAATAAAATTATTTAAGTTTAAGTTAATCAATTTGAAATTTGTATGCAACTGCAAACTAGTAGAACATCGATTGTCATGTTGTCAAACATCGATGTTCTGCCTTCAATGTTTCCCTAACATCGATATTACCTTTCGATGTCAACATCGATGGCTACCATCGATGTTAGAGGATCGATGTCCCATCCTTAGTAAGTGATGAGCAAAGCAGAACCTACACCAAGACTTCCATGATCATGGTCTTGGTCTTGAAAATCATTCTAAAACATTTTTTTTTTGAAAATATGCGTGTTTTATTATTTAATATTCCGAAACTTTGCTTATTAGTTTCTCGTATTTTTTTTATCACAAATACTAGAACAAAAATTGACAAAAGTACAAACAAAACTGAGTTTAATCATGATGTTGTGGATAATGTCGAGGATAATTTTGTTTTGAAACAAGTTTTCCTTAATCAAAGAAATGGTGCGGAAAATTACCGAGTCGTTACTGTTTTCCGTCAAAAGATGTTTCCAAAAAAGTGTTGAATAGTTTCTGTGCTCTAAAACGCGATATAAACACAATCAACTTTTGCACAAGACGAGTGCAAAGGAAAATAAGTATCTCATTATATTCCTAAATCATAAAATTAGAACGATCTTTCAGTTATTTTATTAAATAATTTTCGATCGCCATTATTTAGATTGTTTGAGCTGAATTATATAGCAGAATATTTTTTTGAAATAATAATGTTGGTAGCATTGGCGTTTGTCTTATCCTCAATTTCCGAAAGTTACTTTAAACTCGCGCTAAATTTGGGGGTGTTTACATTATCTGAAAAACTTCTTCTGGCTGTTGGTAAGGTAAGTACCTATAAAAATGAATTTGCTATGTAATGTGTGTAATAGACAAAGTGCCTAATTATGAAACAATTTCTTTGAATTAGGGATGGGACATCGGTCCTATAATATGGATAGTAGCCATCGATGTTGACATCGAAAGGTAATATCGATGTTTCCCTAACATCTATAACTTCTCATGAACATCGATGTATGACAACATCGATGTTCTGATAGTTTGCAGTTGCATACAAATTTCAAATTAATTATCTTAAACCTAAATAAGTAATTTTATTTTACTTCTACTACTTATGACATTTTAAAACAATGCATTCTTAAATAATCGATTAAATTTATTCAACTTATAGTTGCCAATTTTTTCGGTCAACTGACTGCAAAAAGAAGCTTTTTTCGGGTGCAGCTGGAAATGGGCCGCTATACTGCGGTATCGTTTGTACCGGAACTATCAAAGTGTTCGCAGAAAATGTTTCTATCTAGTGTCAACGTCAAATGTCCGATGTTGTCATTTCAGGATCTAACATCGATGTCCCATATTTCCAACATCGATGGTAAAAATCTCGAACATCGAACGAATTACATCGATGTCTGCAAAACATCTATGTTTTTCTCCCATCCCTATTTTAAATGATTAGTAACATAATAGTAATATTAGGTAACTTTGGTAAATTTTAGGGGAAAAAGAGGGGAAAGAAACATACGTGTCTATATTGTCATGTCAAATTTCCTCTGAAAACGCAGGCCAAATCTGAAAAGTACAAAACGTCTTTCTTATGATTATTAAAACCAATGCGAAAATCTGACCTACTTTAGATTTTCCGAATGCTCCAGACGAAAAGAAAATTGAAAACTGGCAAATCATAAAAATGCTGATAGTCAAAGCTTCCAGAAGGGGACATTTTCAATTTTACAACTTAGACAAAAGTGATAATTTTCCCATAAGTTGAACCGAATCCCATTGAAAATAGCAAGTTCGATGCACCTTTGACTCTATTTCTCATCGAAATTTGAGTCTGTTTAGTCAATATTAATTTTTTACTGAATATTATAAAACAGAGCATACGCTAGGGTAAAAAATCCTGTAAAAATCCGTTGAAATTGACATGCATTGTGAGTCACCCCAGTGATGGTTGAATACAAACATGCAGTTTTTTTTATCTTAACTGAATCAATTGCTATCATTTTTTCCCTCATGGTTAGATAGTGCTAACCTAACCACATTGAAGACCAATAAGTCTTTAATGTAGTCGCAACCGACAAAGCCACAAAACATAACATGTAAAATGTGGTTTCTATTGGCCCCGTTTTACGGTCCTTATTATCTTACTGAAAATTAGCCAGTTGATGCTCATAACTATTTTCCTTTTGAACTCCATATAAAGTAACAGTAAAGCAGTGCCTACACGGCAAGTGGTTTTTTCGTATGACTGCACCTTTTAACCGATCTAGACTGCCCGTGCAACAGACAAACTTTCCTCTCGTCAGTCTCGTCCTTGTAAAGTAAAGCGTTTTTTAGGTAGAAGAACTAATCGTTCAAAAACAAAAATACGTTTCTTATTGGTTGTATTGTACTTACAGAATTCCAGAACATTTCGTGCAAACGAAGGATCCTACAGTTACGTTAACGTATGTGGGGCCCCTTTGACCACAATCGAAACAAAACTTATTCTGAGGAAGTCCTACTAATTCCCGGAGGGTTTTCAGGTTGAGTTCGTCCAATTTTTTACGCGCTGTAGCCATGACACTGCACTGAACACACCTGTTAATCGAATTCTCTTTTCCGGAAAACGCAATAACTTTTGAAGTACCAAACAAAGCAACCACACCGAAAACTTGACAAAACAAGGATCAACTACCGTAAACTGAACTGAACTAAACCAATATAATTTAATTTGACAGAGGAATCCACTGCTTAACAAGCGGTGTTGCCGGTGCGCTCATTATTCACTGTTCCAATCATCAATTTCTCTCTGCCAGTAAATTAAGCTTTGAAGCAGTAGTAGTAGGTTAAACGTTTTCTTTCGACCACTTTTTTCACAGATGTTTTCAGATGTATAAATTACAGAGGTTTATATGGAACAAGCTATTTGCGAGTTGAACATTCTAAACGTCCAGCTTCAACTAGTCAAATTTGACACTTATTTTGATTAGATGTCACTGTGACTTATTTTGTTGAAAGTTCCACTCAGCTTTTGCAAAGTTTTAAGTAAATAGAAACCAATTGAAAAGTGTGAATGTATTGTTTTACGTTATAAAATTAAAAGCAAAGCTGAAATATTGGGATATCAGGAAGGTATTACCAAAGTAATCGTGATTGTTGCAGTTAACAAAGGCGAGTAATGTTCACGTTTCTTCGCAGCTTCATTCATTATTCGGTAGTTGAACTTGCGAATATCTAATTCGGTTCAAAATTTAAAACCCAAATTTGGTAGGTAGTTATAGATCAATAGAAATTTTATCTTGATCGCTCACTTCTGGCGCATGTCGCAAATTCGAAATTTTTGACGCATTTTAACAAATTTAACCGTCTAATTCACAATTTATTGCCCAACTTGCCAGCGCTGCCCTCACATATAGAACACTAGAGCTGTGACATCCGATCTTTCATCAACCAACGCCGAGAGAGGCCGCAAAGAAGGATCACAGTTCTTCTGTGAAAATAATTTATTACGTCAAACAAGAAGGCGGTTGATGAAGATATTAACAGTTGAAGATCGATTTTCAAATTTGTTATTAAGCATTATTTTGAAATTGTTTTATGTTTAATTGGTAGCATATTGGAGCTTAAGCATTCAAAAAGAAAAATTACGATCTTTGCTTCAAATTAATAAAAAATTTTATATTAAAAAAGTTCTCTTCTACAATTTTTTGATGAAAGGGCAGAGCGGCAATGATGTTTTTTGTCATCAACATAGTTACAGGTGGATAGCCCTTGTCAATAATCACAATAATTTGTCAAACTGTGATTTACTTTGAATTTCCTTTCACGAATTTGCGGATATGCGATTAGTTCAGGGAAAATGCCACAAAAACATAGCAGAAGGTGAAAGAACTCACGCCAACAAAGGACGAGGAGAGTGATTCTAGGAAGATAGTGGACGATATTCGATGTTCGGATTCCAGACACAGAGGAACAAGTATTGGACATAATCGAATCAGGGCCTTCCAGGGGCACTGAGAGCACAATAACTGACACTTTCTCAAGCACCAAATAAATACCGAGAAAGGCCTAGATTCCTACCACGTGTGTATGATACACACAGTATAAGGAGCACACACAAGTACAAATGGAGCAGGAGTTAATTACCTGAATACGAGAAGCTGCTTGATAAGAGTGGATAATAAGGAGATTACACAGACACTAGCTTAATTGGAGTTAACCATTCAAATGTTTGGTCATAGATGAAGACAAGTATTTACCGTTTATCCTTGTCTATCTTATTGTCACTCTGTATAATTCCATGGTTACCGGAGTTTTAAATAATTACGAAGCCACAGGTATATGCGCAATGTTAATTAGCCTACCTAGTTAGATTACCTTGAAAAACATTGCTGCCGTATTTCTGATATAGTTTTTTGCAAATTTCTCAGTTTTTAATAACAATTAATTTTTTTACTACTTTTTCTGTACTCCTAACATAGCATAGGTAGCATATTGGAATAAATAAGCATTCAAAAAGAAAAATCACGGTCTTTGCCTCAAATTACGAAAATTTTTGATATTAAAAAAGATCTCGTCTACACTTTTTTGATGAAAAATTCTTTCTCAGTTCCGACCATAACCCATTTAAAATTTTACTTAACGAAAATTTCATTCACAGCCCTCTCCAACGACTAAGCCACACAGCCTGGGACTACCTTAACCACTACGTAGTACCAGATAGCACAAAATATTACATATATATTTAGGAAATATTTATATGTTTGCTAAATATTTCTTAAATATTATTTTTTAAATATTTGTTTCTAATATTTAATTAGCATGAAACAAATAAGTTATTAATAATTTTCTTATTACATATTACTTTTTGTACCTATATATAACAACCTTAACACCCAAAAAGTTACTAATATATTATTTTTAATAAATATGAACAAACTTTAGAACAAATTATCTGAATTTTTATTGATCAATGAATAGCAAATATTTCAGAGCAAAAGGAAATATTTTTTAAATGTTATTTAGAAAATATTTGTTTCTAATATTCAATTAGCATGAAATAAATAAAATAATAATAGTTTTTCTTAGTACGTAATACTTTTTGTGTCTATATATAACACCACTAACACGCAAAAAGTTACTAATATATTATTTTAATAAGTGGGAACAAACTTTA